TTGAATGCAAGTGGAGTAAATACCCAACTTACAAAGCATAGAGTGGCAAATTGGATAAAGAGGCAAGACCTAACTGTCTGCTGTCTTCAAAGGCCCAATCTCACACGTAAGGATACAAGCAAAGGTACACAGGTTCAAAGTAAAAGGATGGAGAAGGATCTATAACACAAATGGAAAATAAAAATGAGCAAGGGATGCTATTCTTATTTTAAAAAATAGACATTAAACAACAGACAAGAAAGATAAAAAGAAGTATTACCTAATGATAAAGAATTTAATTCAAAATGAAGAATTGACTATCCTAAATATATATGCACCCAACATTGGAGCACCCAGATTCACAGAACAAGACTTTACAGTCCTATTAAGAGACTTACATAACCACAACATAGTAATGGGATACTTCAACACTCCATGGAATTAGTTTAACTCTATCATGGAGGTAGAAAATTAACAAAGATATTCTGAATTTAAACTAAATACATGGCCAACGAGACCTGGTAGACATTTACAGAACACAAGAAGAAACAACTGCAGAACATACATTTTTCTCACCGCACATGCACATACACTAAGTCTGACCACATGCTAGATCACAGGCAAGTCTCAATAGATTTAATGAAGTCAAAATCATACTAAGCACATTCTTGGACCACACTACAATAAAAATACAAATCAGTGCGAACATCTCTCAAAACCATTCAACTAAATAGAAACTAAACAACTAGCTCCTGGATGACTTTTGAGTAAAGAACAAAATTAAGGCAGAAATCAAGACTTTTTTGAAACTAATGAAAACAGAGACACCTTAATCTTTGAGACACAGCTAAGGTAGTGTTAAGAGAAAAGTTTATGGCACTGAATGCCCAAAGCAACATACTAGAAAGATAGCAAATTAACAAGCCAATATTGCATGTGGAGGAACTATAAAAACAAGAGCAAACCAGTCCCAACACTAGCAGGAGAAATGAAATAACCAATTCTGAGCAGGAATGAACAAAACTCAAATACAAAGAAAAAACACACAAAGGATCAATAAAAATAAAATGTACCTCTTGGAAAGAATAAGCAAGATTAACAGACCACTAGTTAGGTTAACAAAGAAAGGAGAGAGAAGCTCCAAATAAGCATGAACAGATATGAAGAGTGATATTCCAACTGACCCCACAGAAATATAAAAAAAATTCAGACTATTACAAACACCTCTATGCACACATAATAGAAAAAGTAAAAGAAATTGATAAATTCCTGGAAACAATCTCCCAAGATTAAATCAGGAAGAAACTGAAAACTTGAACAGACCAAGAACAAGTTCCAAATGTAATCAGTAATAAAAAAGCTAACACCCAAAAAAAAGCTCTGGGTCAAACATTCACAGATAAAGTCTACCAGATGTACAAAGGAGAGTCATTCTATTTCTACTGAAATTATTCCAAAAATTAGAGGACTGACTACTTCTTAACTCATTCTATGAAGTAAGCATCATTCTGATGTTAAAACCTGGCTGAGACCAACAAAATAGGAAAATGTCCAGCCAATATCACTGGTGAACACAAATGCAAACAACCTGTCAAAACATTAGCAAACTAAACCCAGCAGCTCATTAACAAGAAAACTCACCATGATCAGGAAAGCTTTATCCCTGGTATGCAAGGTTGTTTCAATATACATAAATCAGTAAATGTAATTACATACATAAACAGAATTAAAAACAAAAACCATATAATAATTTAAATCAGGACACCTTATACCTTATACAAAAACTAACTCAAGATGGATAAAAGATTTAAAGGTAAGACCTAACACCATAAAAACCCTAGAAGAAAACCTAGGCAATAGCATTCAGGACATAGGCATAGGCAAGGACTTCATGACTAAAACACCAAAAGCAATGGCAACAAAAGCCAGAATAGACAAATGGGATCTAATTAAACTAAAGAGCTTCTGCACAGCAAAAGAAAATATCATTAGAGTGAACCAGCAACCAACAGAATAGGAAAAAATTTTTGAAATCTACCTATCTGACAAAGGGCTAATATCCAGAATCTACAAAAAAAAGTTAAATTTACAAGAAAAAAAACCCTATCAAAAAGTGGGTGAAAGCTATCAACAGACACATCTCAAAAGGAGACATTTATGCAGCCAACAAACACATGAAAAAAAGCTCTTCATCACTGGTCATTAGAGAAATGCAAATCAAAACCACATTGAGGTACCATCTCATGACAGATTGAATGGCAATCATTAAATATCAGGAAACAACATATACTGGAGAGGATGTGGAGAAACAGGAATGCTTTTATACTGCTGGTGGGAGTGTAAATTAGTTCAACCATTGTGGAAGACAGTGTGGTGATTCCTCAAGGATCTAGAGCTAGAAATACCACTTGACTCAGCAATCCCCTTACTGGGTATATACCCAAAGGATTAAAAATTGTTACATTATAAAGACACATGCACATGTATGTTTATTGTGGCATTGTTCACAATAGCAAAGACTTGGAACTAACCCAAATGCCCATCAAGGACAGACTGGATAAAGAAAATGTGGCACATATACGCCATGGAATACTATATAGCCATAAAAAAGAATGAGTTCATGTCCTTTGCAGGGACATGGATGAAGCTGGAAACCATCATCCTTAGCAAACTGACACAAGAACAGAAAACCAAACACCTCATGTTCTCACTCATAAACGGCTACTGAACAATGAGAACACATGGACACATGGAGGGAAACATCACACACTGGGGCTTGTCACAGGATGGGGGACTAGGGGAGGGATAGCAGGGGGGTGGGGGCTAAAGGAGGGATAGCATTAGGAGAAATACCTAACGTAGATGATAGGGCAATGGATGCCACAAACCACCACCATGGCACATGTATGCCTATGTAACAAACCTGCTTATTCTGCACATGTACCACAGAACTTAAAGTGTAATAAAAAAATAAAATAATGAGTAAATAAGTGGAAATTATATCTGTTCAGAAAATAAGAATAGGCCAGGCACAGTGGCTCACGCCTGTAATTCCTGCACTTCTGGAGATTGAGAGGGGTGGATCACCTGAGGTCAGGAATTCAAGACCAGCCTGGCCAACATGATGAAAAACCATCTCTACGAAAAGTACAAAAAATTAGCCAGATGTGGTGGTGGGCGCCTATAATCCCAGCTATTCAAGAGACTGAGGCAGGAGAATCACTTTAACCCAGGAGGCAGAGGTTGCAGTGAGCCGAGATTGTGCTACTGCACTCCAGCCTTGGCAACAAAAGTGAAACTCCAACTCTCAAAGAACAAAACAAAATAAAGAAATAGCAAAATCAAACTCTGAAAACAAACCCCACCTTATCTTGTCCCTGAAGAAGACCCTGCCAAGTTTTCTTTTGATGTTGCTTCCAAGAGAAGCCTCAACTCATAGCATGCTCATGAGGATGCCACTGGCATCACTTGAGAATGAAACAGATGCCGGAAATTCAGTGCTCTTGGGAGCTATGTATCCAGGCATCACTAGTCATTAATGAGAATCTGAAGAAAAGTTATATTCGCTGGAGGCTGGCTTAAATCCAGAGAGAGAGGAAAAGAAAGATCCAAGGCAAGTATGATGGCTCAAGCACTTAAATAAAATCTGTTACAGACCCCAAAGTCAGAGGACTGTTTTAATGTTCCTCTCATTTGAAACTGGACTGAGAAGATTTGATTTAAAGATTATGTGTATGCAAACTTAAATTTAAGTTGTTACATGCTTTAGGAGCAAATGAATGTCTAGGATCTAATAGCCACATAGATACAATAAATAAAGGCTGGCTGGAGAGTTAATTCTCATGAGACCAAGAAAGATCTCCTCTTCTGTCTCACTGGAAAAAAGGGCAGTGACATCAGCTCTCAGATCTAAGCTGGGAGTGAAGGGCTCCATCTCCAGGGCTTTAAAATCGAATAAATAAAATATAAGCACAGCTAAAAGTGTCACCTTCAGGAGAATATCATTAGTCAATAACTGCTTTAAAAGTCTTGCCCCTTCTTGTAGAAAGAATTGCCTGATATATCGAACGTCAAGCTCACTTTATTTTTCTCTAAAACTTGGAGAAATGCAAATCAAAACCACACTGGAGACTGCAAAAAAGAAACAAATACTGATATATAGAGGACAAAAGTGCTCAATTGAAATCGTTGTCAGTTTGAACCTGGGGAGGTGGGAGACTTGAAATAAGAACCAGTAAGCATATAGAAAAATATTTACAGCATCCACTAGCTCTTCATAAGACTTGAAAACTAAAGCTCTTCTTTATTCAACAAAATGTGCAAAAAAGAAGTTCTAAATTACTTAGACATTTCATTTTTATTCTCTTTGCTTCAGAAATTATTTTGAAATAAATCTGGAACCATTTGGGAAAGCATTCTCACCAGTGTTTTTCTATAAATGTTGCTCCTATTGATCTTACTCCAGAATGGAAACATTTTCAGGAACTGAAGACTCTGCCAAAGCATCTCCTCTCCCTTCCCTCCACTCCTCTTCCCTCTTTCTCTCCCTCTCCCTCCCCTCTCCTCTGCCCTCCTCTTCTCTGCTCTTCCTCTTTTCTTTCTCTTCACATTCCTGGCCGAAATAACAGAACTTGTTTTTACTATGGTATAGAAATAATTGAGAAACATATAAACCTGAACTTACCCAATCTTCCCAGCCTCCTTAGATACCCCTTGATTTTAGAGCTATTTCATGCATTATAAATATTTTCCCAGTTTTAGATTGATTAGGATTCAGTAGCATATTTTTATTTAATTATTTGGAATTGATCTGGACCAAATAATTATATCAATATCATGAGGCAAACTTTATTGTTATCTGTAAAAAAAAGAAAAAAAGCACACATACAGACCTTTCAACTAATGCTATCACTATTGTTATTTCATATGTAAGCATATAAAACAAGGTAAAATACAAATAAAAAATAAATTTGAAGTAATAATTGCAGTGGCAAGAACTCAAAAGGACACTCACTCACTGATCTATCCTGGCCATCTCTAAAACACACAGGTTGATGGAACAGAAACCATGATGGACAGTTTCCTGGTTTGAAAGTAGCTCTCAGGGTATGCAGACACCACACCAGTTTTTATTCTCTCCAGCAGGTCAAACACGGGAAGTTTTAAGTGTGAGGCTTCCATGATCTAGCTCATATTGAGTTTTGAGTCAGGCTCTCCATTGCACATGTATTTCTCTAAAGGTAGGGCCAGTGCTTTCTCCAACAAGAAGACCCAAAGTTTGCAACATAGCATAAAATTTTTATTTGCTTATAAATTTTTTCAACTTAAAAAATTCTATTTTTATCCACACAGAGGGTTTGCACAACGTTGCCCAGGCTTTTCTCAAACTCCTGGCCTCAAGTGATCCTCCCACCTTATCCTCCCAGGATGCTGGAATTACAGGTATGAGCCACCATGCTTGGTCCCTTTCAGCTTTAAATAATTTATTTAGTCCTAAGAATATCACCTGTACTGAAATGAATGTATTCTATAAAGGTTAGATGTATGACTGTTCATTCATCTTAGAAAAGCTCTGTTTATTCTTGCTTACCCTCTTGACGTGTGTGTGTGTGTGTGTGTGTGTGTGTGTGTAATGGATGGTGGAGTAGAGGTGTTACTAGTGGAGGGTCTTGACTATGAATTGTCCAGACTCTTGTCATTTCAAACAAAAAATTTGCTAAAACACACAGACAAAGCAATGAAAGAATGAAGTAATGAAAGTAGATGATTTATTTAAATAAAAGTACATTCCAGACAGCAGGAGTGGGCTTGAGCAAGTGGCTGGTTACCGAATTTCCTGGGGTTTTATTTAAACCCCTTTAGAAGTTTCCCATTGGTTACTGGGTTTACACATGATATAAATGAGGGAGTGGCCCGTGACCAGTCTAATCGGTTGTGGAAGCTGATTAGAGGCTGAAGCAAAGTAACAAAGTTACACCCTATGCAAATGTCAGATTGGCTGTGAGGGGGGAACCAATCAGAAGCCAAAGGTAAAGTTACAAATTTATACTCCTTTGCAAATGGATACTAGGCCCATAACCAGTCTGATTGGTTGTGGGAGGAGACCAATGAGAGGTACTTTTAATTATTCCATCTGCCATGCATCAAACAGGGGAGAGTTGAAAAGGGAGTAGCTTCTTGTCCTTTTGTTACTTGAGCATAGAAAGTTGGGGCTTTCCTTTTGATTTAGTTCTAGGAAGTCTGTGTGGCCTTAGGTTCCCTGCCTCCAGGCCATATACTCCAGCCTCATTTCCCCCTGAGAGACATGATACCCACAAATCTTTATGGGACACAGAGAGACCAATGGTCTTTCTTCTGTAACTGCTTCATGCCGACTTGGAGTATAGTCCCTACCTATTGGGGAATCATGGAACTCTCACCCCGCTCTGTCTACTGAAAACAGAGTAGTTTCTTGATAGCCTGGAGTGGTGTCTTCCCCCGAAACTGGCTGAAAACATCACATGATCATCTGAAGCTTGATGGTCTCTAGGTGACAAGAAATGAATTTGGTTAAAAGATTTAACAAACATGGTCCAAAAACCAAGAAAAGTATAATCATTAATAATGGGCCAGCCAGAGGAAGGAACCATGATCCCCAACTTAGGAAGGGGATCTTTACTGATCTTATTGGTCTTTTTTGACCAAGACCCCCATGACTCAGACAGCTGTTATCGTATGCTAGAGGCTCAACCAGCTAGCTTTTGGGCAGCACCCCTTACTATTCCTGACTGATTGACATAAAAACAGCATTCTTCCTCTAGGAAAAGACATAAGCCCTCCCTCTAGATTAGTCCCGTTCTATTTTGTAAAACTACTGCTGCCAAGTAATCTCTCTGATTTTGTATGGTAATGATACTTTGGGCAATGTCATCCAAGCTTCCATAAAATCCTTGGACAGCACTGGTAATAGGATAGGGAAGTTGCAAGCCTGCTAACTCTTGTTCAACTCCTTTTCCTACTCCCACTGCTATTCCTAGCCCTACCAAAAGGGGTACTGAGTTGGATAGCTCATTTGTGCCTGGCGGTTGCAGTTAAAGGTATATATAATAAGGGATTGGTTTTGGGGAGCTATATTAATTTTGAGGGCTAAATAAAAAAGTATACAGACTCCAGTATAATTGGCTGGTAAATATAAGTAGGAACCGGTCCTGTACAGGAAAAGGCTCCTTGTTTTTCAAGATAAAAAGTGTTTTCTATGGTGAACATATGGGTTAACTTGTTGCTTTCTCTCTCCCAGGTGCTCAGTGTACCTGCTAAGGTGACCCTGGTTAAGGCTGAGAAGGATCTTGAAAAGTACCCTGACTTGCCCCAGCAGTTCTGTTTTCCCACTACAGGTAGCTACTCTTAGTGTCCACCAGCAATCACCCAGAGGTATGTTCGTACTCAGGAACCAAAGGGCAAATAAATTTCTCCGAATTAGCAGTCTTCCCAAGGGAAATGTGAACAGAGGTAGTGGGCCTACCTTGACAGTACTTAGACTGCATATTCTTTTAAGTGCCCTTAACTAGGGATGGTTTGCATGAAGACCTTATAGATATTCTAAATTATGTGGTCTGGGTAACTGTGTAGCTTACATGATCCTCTGAGAGGTTAATCTCTTGGGTGTAGTTACAATGATGACTTTTCAAGGTGCCCAGGCCTGACCAAAATGTTGGCTTTTCTTTATACAAAGTGGTGCTTGGAATTTTAGCTCTGTGTGCATTGATACTGAGCCCCATATGGGTTTCTGTGGGGATGCACACCAGAAAGATTGCTCTATTAGGACTGAAGAAGGTTTACTGTTCATCCTGTCATTGTACCCCTTGTCATTTCTAAAATTTTGAAGTCATATAAGTCACCCAAGTTCATTTATCTCAAGAAGTTTCTCTCTGGTAGTTAGGGCTATAGGTCTTTCTTTTAAAGGGCCCAAGATTGGGCTGGGATTGGGATGGCAGTGTATTTGGATGATAATGGAGCTAAGTAAAGCCAACAGTCCTTTGCCAAAGTTGGACTGGTGGTATTTAACAGTCTTTGTGTTAAAGTTCTTAATAAATACTCAGAACCTATTAATTGCTGAAGGGGTATAGCTCTGTTGTAAATTAAGACTGATTCCCAGTAGGCATGTTTCCAGTATACACAGGGCATGGGTGACCATTATGAACCAAAAATACTTGCTATTTTTTCTATCAAATGGGAACTTCAGGGGGTGGATAGCTATTACTGTCAGGAGTGACTGTTATAGAAATGAATTTAAACACCTTGCTTAATTATTGCTAAGGGAGTGATTCCATCTGTTTGGAAGAAGGCAATTAAACTATAACAATATAAAAATGGCTACTATTATCCAACCTACAGTAGCTATGCAACAAAGACACCAAGAAAAGTTGGTAGACATTTACTTATCTCTTGGCTGTCTTTTAAACAGGTCTTCAGGGTCTTACAGGTTCACAGGTGTAGTGGCTGATGGGCACTTCAGGTTCCAGGTTCAGGGCTTTGGTATTGCAGAGCTGACCCTTGAAAATGTAGCCAACTACCTAATGCTAGTACTGTGACTGCAGAAGGCATGGCCAGTATAACTGAAAACAGTTCCTTCCACTGTGGTTATAATTGTTGAGGTGATCCCTCCTTCCATGTTTTAATGAGTACCTTATCTCCTGGCCTAATTTGGAGGTTGCTGGTTAGTTCCCAGCATGGGAAGTCTTTGAGTTCCAAGGTTTTTTAAAACTTGCTGAAATTATCCCAGATTAACTAGGTATTTTACTAAACCGGATGCTTCTGGATCAGTAATTAGATCATTAGTTAAAAATAGCCTTACATATAACATTTCATATGAGCTTATATTAGTTTTTGCTCTAGGGCTAATATCACATTTCATATGAGCTGATATTAGTTTTTGCTCTAGGGCTATGAGCGTAAGCTGACTCAGGTTTCTGATATTTCCTGACATAGCTTAGGTAATGCCCATTTTAGAGTTTGGTTAGCCCTTTCTACTTTCCTAAAGGATCGAGACCTCTATGTTGAATGTAAATGTGTTTCATCAAGAGCCTTAGCAACCCTTTGAGTTATTTGGGAGATAAAGGTTGACTCATTATTACTTTGGAGGCTCTGAGGTGAACGAAACCAGAGGATTATTTCATTTAAGATAATCTTTATAACCTCATTATTCTTCTCTGTTCTAGTAGGGTGACCTTCAGCCTAACCAGTAAAGGTATCTATTAGCACTAACAAAAATGTGTATCCTCTGCAAACCAGCATAGCACAGTGATGAAGTCTAAGTGCCAGTTTCCCTGGCTACGTTTCTCTCCTCTGGCCTTGTCCAATTACAGGAGGCATTTTGCTTCCTGAAGGTTTTCTTTCTTTTTTTTTTTTTTGAGACAGAGTCTTGCTCTGTTGCCAGGCTGGAGTGCAGTGGCGCAATCTCCACACACTGCAACCTCTGACTCCCTGGTTCGAGCGATTCTCCTGCCTTAGCCTCCCAAGTAGCTGGGATTACAGGTACATGCCACCACGCTCAGCTATTTTTTTTTTTTATGCATTTTTAGCAGAGACAGGATTTCACCATGTTGGCCAGGATGGTCTCGAACTCCTGACCTTGTGATCTGCCCACCTCAGCCTACCAAAGTGCTGGGATTACAGGTGTGAGCCACCACGCCTGGCTGTTTCCTGAGTTTTGAAGTGCACACAGTGAGTGGGCTTGACAGACCTGCTTAACCACCGAAGCCAAGTTAGGCCCGATGAAGAGACTGTTAACCACGGCCAGGGCGGCCCCCCTCCTTATACAGAAAGTTAAGCAGGGTTTTTATAAGTCATTGGGTTGGTTGATGGAGATATAATTTTGATGCCATATACCACCAGGATCCTTGTTTTTGTCTTCTTTCTCCTCTATTAACTGTTCTTCCTGTGTATTCAGGCTCTATTGGGGAATCACAGAAAGGAAGTGGTGCTAGGATCTGCTGGGACTGCATGCTAAGGGCTTTGGCTTCTCTATCAGCCTTTCTGTTCCCCTGTGCTATAGCCACTAGGTCTCTTTGATGCTCCCTGCAATTATAGCTACAGCTTTTGGCAGGAATATTCCTTCCAATAGCTGAAGAATTTCAGTCCCAGGCTTTATAGGGGAGTGTTTGCTAGTTAGTAGTCTTCTTTCTTTTCAGATTGAAGCATGAGTATGAACCACAAGGAATGCATATTTAGAACCTCTATAAATGCTAAGCTTTTTCCCTTGTCCCAACATTAATGCTCACACAAGATTTTGGCCTTTTGTGCTGATGCGCCAGGGGGCATTGACTATATCCAGTTTGGCACTTCCCATTTCACACAAAACTACTGTCATCTGAAAACTGGTCATCCTTAGGATCTGGGAGAGGTTGATCTTTTAAATCAGGCCAGCTAAGATGTGTATGTAACAACCTGCCATGGGATGATCAGTTATTGGCCCCGTGGGTCCAATGAAGCTGGATTCAAATGGTTACAGGTTTTAAGGGTTGTATCTGGATTGCTTAGGAGCACGGCCTGGTATTTTTTTAACCATTCTCCCATCATCCAGATGTGTCCTTTTATTTCAAAGACTGAATTCACCTGATGGGAAATTAGAACTTCCAGTGGTTGACCAAGGGTGATTCTAGTTGCTTCCTTCACTAACATAACAGTGGGTGCTATTGCCCACAGGCAACTCGGGCATCCGAAGCTGCTCTGTCTTACTCATTTGAAAAGTAGGCAGTTTGTCTGGGTTCTGATCCTAATTTCTGGGTTAGCACTCCCATAGCTATGCCCTTTTTTTTTTTTTTTTTTTTTTTGTGCTACATACAAAGGGAAGGGCTTACTTATGCCTGGGATTCCCAGAGTGGGAGCCTCTTTTAGCTTGGTGAAGGCTTCTCATTTCCAGGGTCCATTCCATTAGTTCCTTTTCCAGCCCCCTTGTTGCTTCATAAAGAGGCTTTACTGTGATTCTGAAATTTGGTATTTATATTCTGCAAAACCCAGCTATTCCCAAAAAAGAATGAAGCTTTTGCTTGGTGTAGGGAGGACCCAAACTGCATATAGTTTGCACTTGTCTGGGGATATTTGTGAGCTCCAGATTTGTGTAGAAATCACCACTAAAGAACTTATTCATGTATTAATTTTGTAACCTGAAACTTCGCTGAATTCATTTATTAGCTCTATGAGCTTTTTGGATACATCTTTAGGGTTTTCTAGGTATACAAATATATCATCAGCAAACAGCAACAGTTTGACTTCCTCTTTACTAATTTGGATGTCCTTTATTTCCTTCTGTTGTCTGATTGTTCTATGTTGAATAGAAATGATGAAAGTGGGCATCCTTGTCTTGTTCCAGATCTTATGGGGAATGCTTTCAACTTTTCCCCATTCCATATGATGTTGGTTGTGGGTTTATCACAGATTCTGCTGGGATAATTCGCAAGCCAGATGTAGGAGAATGAAACTGGATTCTCATCTCTCACCTTATAAAAAAATCAAAAATAAAAAAAAAATAATAATATATGTTGGAACAGATGTGTTAAAAACAGAACACTTTTATACTGTAGGAATGTAAACTAGTACAAACACTGTGAAAAACAGTGTGAAAATTTCTTAAACTAACTAAAATTAGATCTGCCATTTGATCCAGCAATCTCACTCCTGGGTATCTACCCAGAGGAAAAGAAGTTATTATATCAAAAAGATACTTGCGCATACATGTTTATAGCAGCATAATTCACAACTGCAAAAGTATGGAACCAGCCCAAATGCCCACTAATCAACGAGTGAATAAAGAAAGTGTGATATACATGTACACATACACACACACACTCACACACACACACCATGGAATACTACTCAGTCATAAAAAGAAATTAAACGGTGGCATTTTCAGCAACCTGTATGGAATTAGAGACCGTTACTCTAAGTGATGTAACTCAGGAATGGAAAACTAAACATCATATGTTCTCATTCATAAGTGAGAACTATGCTATAAGAACAATGGACCTTGGAGACCTGAGTGAAAGACAGGAGGTGGGTGAAGGATAAAAGACTACCCACTGAGTATAGTATATGCTGCTTGGGTACTGGGTGACCAAAATCTCACAGATCATCACTAAAGAACTTATTCGTGTAACCAAGCACCACTTGTTCTTCAAATACTATTGAAAAAATTTTTCAAAAGAAACTACATAAGTGGAATGTCCAGGTGATAAGACACTGTTTTGAGATAGGAGGCCCTGTGAAAAAAAGAAAGTAACACTGAGCCTATTTCTCCAGCTAGAAAGGATTTCAAAATAGGGACAGAGGAACCTTCAAAATTGGACTCTCTGTCACATGGAGAATGAATAAATGCTGCTATTCCTTCAGTTGTATAAACACTGCTAGATCTGGAGTACTTAGGTAATGAAGGCACTAAGCACTGAATGAGAGACTTTCCATAGGTATATGAGTCTAACACGGACAGTGCTTGTGAATTCCCATTGCCTTCAGCTTTGAAAAGAAACTCTCTGACACGGTGGCATGGTGTGGAAACAGGACTGTTGAGGAGATGAATAAAGCCGGAGTGATGGGTTAAGGGCCAGGGACCTCTCAGAAGTCTAAGAACAGGGAAACACCAGTGATGAAGCTTCCAGGGTTGGGGGAGAATCCACACAATTTTATCCTATTTTACTTATTTGATTAATTTATACTTGATGAATTTTACACAGTTATACATTTGAAAAGGTGATTTTCTCACTTTTCAAGTAAACCAAGCTTTTGGAGTCAAATATTTTTCTTTGTATTAAAACTTTCTTTTAAACCTAAAATGTAATAAAAAAAATAATAAAATAAAAATTAAAATAAAAAAATTAAAAAAAAACTTTCTTTTATCTAATGTGTTGATTCCTGACTTGTGCTAATTGCTTTTATAATGTATTAGAATTTATGAAAGCAGCATCTGGCACTATTTGTAATACTGTGAATAAATTCTACTTTTTCTGCACTTTCAATATCATACAACACTTCCAATATGCTAAAGGTATAAAATTATTTTCTACCTATTGCTGTGGGAAACAGTTCTGTCACCCTTATTTGTCCTCTTACTGCTTGTTCTCTAGAGATGAAAATTAACCTTTGTTGCCTACCTTCACTATATCAAACACTTCTGTGTCCACTACCTCTATTAATTCTTCCAAATGACGTTAGGCAGGATTAACACAATTAAGCAAGTTGGAAAACTGAGACTTTGCATCTTTTATTTATATGATTCATTACTTAGGGATGTAAAAGAGTGTATTTCCAGCCTTTGGCAATACCTTTTAAATTCTGTATATTCATCCATTTTCACACTGCTGTAAAGAATTGCCTGAGACAGGATAATTTATAAAGAAAAGAGGTTTAATTGACTTACAGTTCCACATGGCTGTGGAGGCCTCAGGAAACTTACAATCATGGCAAAAAGGGAAGCAGACAGGTATTACATGGTGGCGGGTAAGAGAGGAGAGTGTAGTAGGTACCTGCCTTTTATAAAACCATTAGATCTCATGAGAACTCACTATCATGAGAACAGCATGAGGGAAGCATCCCCATGATCCAGTCAGTTTTCTCCCTTGACATGTGGGGATTACAATTCCAGATGAGATTTGGATGGAGACACAGAGCGAAACCATGTCACTCTGTATGCTCACTGCAGCATCTTTGAAACTTTGCTCATGTTACGTTTTTCATAAAATCTTCTGTTTGTCCAAATTCTACCCAAATTTCAAAGTCTAGCTCATGTTTTCAGAGTTTGGCTATTAAAAAATATAGAAAGATACTTAATTACACATTTCTCAGTCTGTAAACTAGCATGTCATTGAGAGAAAATAATTTAAGTATCTCTTCTAGTCAACTCTGTGCAGATATTTGACAGAAAATAACTTAAACATATGTTTTTTAATTTGTTTAACACAGAAAATGGATTATCAAATGCCTACATAAAAAGTCCATGCGTAAACTCTTTATCTTTATAGTGTAATTCATAGTTCTGAGTACATGATGGTTTTGCCATCCTTTATCACTGTGTTGATCCTGAGTCAATTTATTTCAAATGCACCATAAATTTAGTTATGTATTTTAAGGAAAAATAAACATTGTATTAAATGAACATATCAACTTTTAGTTGAATCCCTGTTGTACAAACACTGAATTGGAATATGAAAAACAAGATCTGAGAATGGAAGACACTGAATAATGACTAAATTTTTAGAGTGCAAACATAAAGAGCAAGTGATGATCATCAAGTGTAAATATACATATAGATGCAACCAAAGTTTCAATAGAAAGAAAGGGTAAGAGAAAATAACATGAGATGATTTTCATGCATTAAATTCAAAGCAAAGAAAGTCACAGTACATCTTACATCCATTGGCCATGCAGCTTTACAGGTAAAGAGTATACTACTGATGTTTGCTCTGACATGAGCTATGAAACTTATTGATCATTTTGACACTTCTGTGCTTGCTCTATGAAATTTTCATTATATTATATTGCCCAAAATTGAGAACCCTACAGGCATTAGATGGGAACATGCCCAACAACGGAGAACCCTGCAAGCTTACAGATCACTTCTGTAATGCACTCCCACTCATTTTCCAAAAGTTTGCCTTTACAATGACTGATCATACAGATGAAAATAGTACTTCTACCTCAGTTCAAAGGAACTCTGTCTGGAAGAAATTTGCTTTTCTCATATGTTGAAACAAAATTTAGATCGTACTTTTGAAAAGCTTCTCCACAGTGGTTTGTTATGGATTTATGGAAGAGTCTGAACTTGGTATGGTGTAAAACTGATTACTTCATTGTTTATTTTAAATGCTGTCTTTAAACATGCCATGTCCAATCTGCTTTATGTCTCAATACGAAATATGAATGGAGATACACACACACACCACAAAGTGAAGACTGTTTTACCATTGTAGAATGTAATCTGACATATGAAAATGTTCATCTCAAAGATGCAACAGTAGCTAATTAAATCAAATATCTAATACTAACCACTTCACTTCTTGTTCAAAGGTAGCGAACTTCTATAGTCTGTGGTTCTATATGCCAGATGATAATTAATCAATATGATAATAAAACAGAGGATTAAGAAGTTGGCTTCCAGAACTAAGTTATTAAACATGGCACCATTAAGCACATGAGTTTTGTGTACTTTGAAATATGATTAGTATAACAGAGGAACTAAATTAATATATTTATTAATTTTTATTTAAAGAACTGACACCCTAATTTATTTATTGGAACATTTTAAAGTATGCTTGATGCCTTCAGAATATGAACATCTATTCTTTTCACTTCAAATTTTAAAACATCTGAATACAAATTATTTTCAGTGAAAGTTTAGTACTCTACTTCCCGCCCACAGAGCCCCCTACTGGAACACTTCTTGACTGCAGTGTCTCCCAACAGAGTGCCCCTACCAAAGCACCCTCTGCCCATGGCACCCCTTGCTGGAGGGACCTGCAGCACACTACGCCAGAGCACCTCCCACCTCTGATGTCCTCACTGTCCCCCATGAGAGCATCTGTACCTAGTCATCTCCTACAGAGTGCTGTTGACACTGGTCTAGGAGCACCTTGACCCCTCCAGCCCAGCCAGAGATTGGCCTCAAGAGACCAGAGGACAAAGCCACTGACCCAATCCCAGTGCCCCTGGATTACAGCGGAGTCTGGAGCTGAGCTTTGCCTTTTAAAATCATCTGGAAATGAAGCCATTTACCCAATTTACACCACAGTCAAATCCTCAAGGGCAATAAAGATCATTTTTAAAAAAAGGCCTATCCAAAGAACAGTGACTTCAAAGGAGAAAGAAATATCAACCTTCACAGGTAAGAAAGAACCAGTGCAAGACCTTTGGTAACTCAAGGCCAGAGTATCTTTTTACCTCCAATCACACTAGTTCCCAGCAAAGGATCCTAACAAGAATAAAGTGACTGAAATATCAGACATTCAGAATCAGGACTATAAGGAAGCTAATAGAGAGACAAAAGAAGGCAGGAACAAATGAGGCTTCCCATCTCTGAGCTGCTTTGGTCTATAACTTCCCTGAAATTACTCTCCAGAAAAAGACCCTGATGTCTGCTTTCATTTGGAGATTTTTCTGTTTCACATAAAGGCAGAGTAGCACATGTATTACTGTGATCCACAGGAGCAGTGCAATCGAGTGCCTTTTTTAAAAAACTATGGTCACAATAAGCCAGATCAGGCTTCTTGCATCAGGCCCATTCCTGTGTGTTCCTATGGAGTGACCCCATTACAGGTTAACAGCCTGCAGAACACGACTCAAAAGCTCACCTGAGGACCACTTTTCTAACCTACACTTCCTTGACAGGGCATGAAGGACATCCTTCACCATTCCAAAAATTCAACATTTCCAACTACCACCCAACTCACACTGATCCCCCTCCAAGGTTGGCTTCCCTTCCGATACATATCTCTGATATCTATTCTGTATCTCATTTAATAGTATCACCATCTACCTTCCACTTCAGCTGGAAAGCATGGGGAAAATGTCTGTCTGTCTCTCTCAGCCACATGTGCCATGAACCTCTAGGCCCCAGCATGCCCACCCCCCAATCTCAAATCTAACTTGTTCTTCTCCATTTCCAATTATTCCCAACATCTCCTAGCTTTGGAACAATCTCTCATCTGGCCTCCTTGCTTTCTCTACATCATCTTCATTTGAGCTTCTGAATCACACATCTGAGCACGCTGTTGCAGTCTTTTTCACGCTCATATTCCCACTAAACCTTAAACCAAGCCTGTCGGAACTAGTTGATGCCTTGCACAGCTGCTTCAGCAAACATAGATAAGAAGATTCATATGAGGACTGTTGCTCACAACAAAAATTTAGAAACAACCCAAATGATGTGACATGATAAAGTAGAATAATAATAGGCAGCAAGGAAAAACAAACTGAACACCCAGTTTGATATTAATAATATACTACTGAGTGAAATAAACTACCTCCATGTTGCTACATACAGAATAAGCTTCTTTATTTTTGAGATGGAGTCTTGCTCTGTCACCGGGCTGTATCTTATTAAGTTCATAAATAACTAAAAGTAAACAGAATATTGTTTAGGTGCTATATTTAGGCTATATTAGGTGCACATGTGTACATGTACACAAACAACATATATACATACATATATAGACATATAAATACAAGCACACTAATAAAACTATGAAAACTATAAAAAAGGCAATAGAACAATCAGCACAAAGAGGTAAGAGAGACAGGCATACAGACTGCAGAGAAAATGCACAGAGGTAAATATGGACAATGTTGTTCTCTAGTTGGATGATACCATCATAAATGATCATGCTATCGTCTAGCTATTTAATTATTAAAAGAAAGCTATGCTTGAGCTAAGGATTATATGCCCAATTCAGTATAGCTAACCTATAGTGAAAGGAAGGGAGGCAGGAAGAGACAGAGAAAAGAACTGTGTAATGCAGCAAGAAGTCTCCACATTTAAAAGAGGACTTGAAAAGGAAGAATACACAAAGCAAAACCATGTTAGTGGAAACCAGCTATGTGGGTTGACAGTCAATGCTTTTGGTAGACTGTAATCTGTGGCCTATCTACAGGAAAGTGATTCTCCATAGGAGCATTCAAGCAGCACAGACCACCCCAGCAGTGCTATCTGCTCCCTCCTCCTGAGCTTGCCAAGATTTGAGGGTTTACTTAGGCTTCCCTATTTCTGCATCCTGAAGCACTCCAAGCAAAGTAATGTTGGTACTGTTCATGCCTATATGCAATGTGCCACATGAAATCTCTAAAGTTGTCCATGTCAGTCTATTTTGTTTTTTTTATAAGGATGATTATAAAATAATGTGAACATCTGGATCTCTGGCCAAGTCAGCCTCAACCTCCCTTATAAACCTCAAGATGCTTATCTTCACTTACTAAGGAGCAATAACTCTCTCCAAATTCTTAAGCAAACAATACAATATTAATTGCAGTCTAGATCTCCCAACATGTCTTCCTTTGATCAGCTGTCAAGAACATTAAGGAAATGTTCAAGACTCCTCAAGTTGGGGGCGTGTGTGTAAGGGGAGAGATTTGTGACCAATTAAAATGCAGAAAAAGTCAAATAATATTTCCAACTTCCTTGTTTGAGGCTCAAACACATTTGGTGCTGAAGGAAAAGGATTAGGAAGGAGCAAAGCTATAATTTATAGCTTCAGTATGATAATGGGATGGAAGGTAATGTGTGGCACTTATAAATTCCACTTCCAGGCCAGGAAAAGCAAAATGGAAACAAAGATCAAGAGGGTGGTAGGTAACCTAGAAAGGCTGAGGACTAAGTAAGTCCCTACTGTTGACCAAGTTCATACCAAGCAAAACCAGCAAGTGACAAGCAGTTGTTGACAGCTTTGGTTTCCTGCCTACCCTGGGATACTCTTCCCAATCATTCAAATCTAAATGGTTCCCAGCAGCATGGAATTAAAAAAGAAAAGAAAATCCCACTTCTGTGAAGGAGTGGCTTATATACAGGTGACCATTTTGGATGGCACACTTTAGCATCACTAAGTTAATGAATCAGAAAGGTTACAAACCCATCCTCTGTAAATCAGGACAGAACCCTGCCCTCTACTTGTTTTCTGCCCAAGCTTCATCCTTGACCTCTGAAGTTAATCTTTTTTTTTTTTTTTTTTTTCAGACGGAGCTTTTGCTCTTGTTACCCAGGCTGGAGTGCAATGGTGCGATCTTGGCTCACCGCAACCTCCCCCTCCTGGGTTCAAGCAATTCTCCTGCCTCAGCCTCTGGAGTAGCTGGGACTACAGGTGTGTGCCACCATGCCCAGCTAATTTTGTGTGTGTGTGTGTTTTTAGTAGAGACAGTGTTTCACCTTGTTGAGCAGGATGGTCTTGATCTCTTGACCTCGTGATCCACCCGCCTCGGCCTCCCAAAGTGTCTGAAGTTAATCTTAATGATTCAAGCCCTTCCTCTCTGTTACCAAGAGTTTTAACTTTCTTTTATCCCCGATTCGCACCCTGACAGATTATGGTATAATATAATGAAAGTTCATATAATGAAAGTCTTTTACAAAGTCTCCCGTTTCACCTTGACAGCACATTCTAGAACCTCATTACCTCACACCAGCACAAAGGGGTCCTACCTAGACACCCTTTCCCCTGCCCATCTAATCCCAAACACTACGCACACTGCCACTTTCACCATTGCATATCCGTGCCTCGCAGAGACACCTGCAAAACACTTCTAAGCAAGACTCAGCCACAACTGAGCCTCTGAGTGTGACATACAGGGGACGTTCACAAAGAAGCACAGGAGGAACCAAAGAGGTGGGTAAAGAACCAGAAGGGGAGACTCCAGAGGAAGGTCAAGACATGGCAGCAGACACCGAAAAACAGATGACGATGGCAAACTTGGCTCCTCTGCAAGTAAATGTCAAGTCAGGAAATGCCTTGGGGAGCTCATGGGAGCCCTGAACCACCTCTGGAGGAGCAGGAAAAAGAGATTAATCAGAAATCTTGTGTCAACGAGAACAAAAGGCCGGAAGACTGAGCTACCCGAGGAGCCCAGGTGATACTGAGGGACCAACTCACGGGTGCTGAAAGCTCAGCAGGGTCGGCGCTGAAACACCATTGCGCGTGGCTCTGGCACTCCGTGGACACGCACTTGGCCCCACGTCCTGATGTTCTTTATCCTGGGAAGCTGTTCATCAGGAGAGAAATTTCGAAAAGAATAAATCACTTTTCAGTAAACGTCTTCAATTAAACTCCCGCTTTAAGGCAACTGCCGAACTTTCCCCAGTGCGGAGGGGACACGTGACGGCATGGAACGTTCCGTTTTCCAGCCCTCATCTACCGAGTCGTTCGCGTGCGATTCAGCGCCATTAACACAAGGTTACTCCTCAGCGTAACAGGTTCTATATTAAATTATGGCCAAAGAGCGTTCATCCGAAATTTCTGATTCAAAAATGGGAGAAACTTCCAAGACATAAAAGATAAAGCTATTTACCAGTATTCCAGTTAAATGTATAACAGAAACAGAAAAATATTTCCGTTATACATAAATAGGAAAAAGTCGCCTTTTCCAGATGTGTCAGAGACCCCCTGTGACTAGAACGCCGTGGAAAAGCATCTTAATTCCAGAACGTGGGGGCTGAGGGGACACAGTGTTGAGGGCGAGCCACGGAAAATCACTGCGGCAGCCGGCGCCCCGCCTCAGTTCCCCTCAGGAGAGCGCACTCGCCTGTGTGGAACGCGAAGGCGCCTCCGGGACGAGGGCGGGTGGTCCCTGCGACACCAGCGTCCGCCCGGCCCGGCCCAGATTCCCTGTCCCCAGTCGCCGGCGTCGTGAGGCTCCCACGTACCCCAAACGCCCGCGCCTCGTCAGGGCCGCTCAGTCCCTCTGGGAGGCTCCAGGCGGCTCGAGGGCGGGATCCTCACAGCGCAGGCGCGCGCCTCTGCCGCAGCCAGGGGAGGAGCGCGGCAGCAGCGGCAACCGGCAGCCGTTAACCGTTACCGGAAGAGCCCCGCCCCACGCCCGCCAGGCCTCTCCTCCCTCTCTGCCTCTAAGCCCGAAGCAGAGAGCTCCAGGCTCCGCCTTCAGAGCCTGTCCCAAAGCGTGGCAAGTCCCTTTCCCGGAAGACTAGACCCTCAGCCCGGCGGGCCTGTGGCCCAGGGGGGATTTCCCGGACAGGCTAGCCAGTCACCAAGAAGCCAGATGACCAACTGCCCTTGTCTTCGTGCTAAGGTAGACACGACTGCCTCACGGTTCCTTTCAGTGACATTGTTTAATGTGTGTGCTCTGGGAAGTGACGTCGTGTTTCTGAGTTAGCAGCCCCGCCTCTTCCGCCCGCCTTTTCCGCGTCCCGAGACAGCATCCGCATTCCCTAAGCGCTATAAACGTTAGGCTGCAGCAAGGTTCTGGGACTTCGCGTCGCACTTTTGAATCTCCTGGAAGTTTTTATTTGTTTGTTTGTTTTGAGACGGAGTTTCGCTCTTGTTACCCAGGCTGGAGTGCAATGGCGCGATCTCGACTCACCGCAACCTCTGCCTCCTGGGTTCAGGCAATTCTCCTGCCTCAGCCTCCTGAGTAGCTGGGATTACAGGCACACACCACCGTACCCAGCTAATTTTTTTGTATTTTTAGTAGAGACGGGGTTTCACTATGCTGACCAGGATGGTCTCGATCTCTTGACCTTGTGATCCACCCGCCTCGGCCTCCCAAAGTGCTGGGATTACAGGCGTGAGCCACCGCGCCCGGCCTCTCCTGGAAGTTTTAGTGAGAATTTGCGGCTTGAAGGCCAGAATTCCTGGCTCTTTCAAAGAAAGCGTTACCAAAGAATTGCCTGGAGGAGGGTCGCACACTGTCACACATCCAGTGACAGATGCGAGGGGACTTGGCATTAGAAAAGAAAAACGAGGCGCAGGCCGTGTGATGCTGTAAAGGTGACACACTGTGAGCTGTATTGGCCACGCCAGGAAATATCAAAAACACATGTGGTTTCTGAATTCTTAGGTTTTTGACCACCTTTGAGTAAACATCCTGGCTTGCAACATTTTATGTAATATCTGGAAGTGGAGTGAGCCGGCGATAGCAGTATGTGCATTAAAATGAATCTAATGCATGGCAATAATTACTGCATTTTTATGAAAACTCTAGAGACAATAGTAGGAAACTTAGGATGTAAACCCGTGAAAGAGTCCATCATAAACTGATTAAGCTGAAAAAAAGGAAGTAGTATAAAAAGGAGGTAGAATAAAAAATGCCAAAATACACTCTGATGCACTTGTCCCATTTATTTTTCCAGTCGGTTAATTTCTCCTCTGCCTTTCCTTCATTTTCCTGAGTTGTTCTTCACTTTCGGCCCCTCTCCGTCTTCCAGTTTTCCCCTATGGCAGTGAATCAACTGTGTGACACCAGCTCTCACACCTGCTGCTGGGAGGGTGTAGGTAAGTCAGAACTGCCAGCTCACTTTCTGACCTGTACAGCTGGACTGACCACACCATCCTCCCTGATTATTGTAGGGCGGAACAAGTCACCAATCTGGGAGGTGCGCATGCATTTATTTATTTATTTATTTATTTATTTATTTATTTATTTATTTATTTTTATTTATTTGAAACGGAGTTTCGCTGTTGTTGCCCAGGCCGAAGTACAATGGCACGATCTCAGCTTATTGCAACCTTGGCCTGGGTTCAAGTGATTCTCCTGCCTCAGCCCCCTGAGTATCTGGGATTACAGACACCCGCCACCACGCCCAGCTATTTTTTATATTTTTAATAGAGACGGGCTTTTGTCATGTTGGCCAGGTGCTCCTTTATTCTTATAATAAAATGGGAAACCCCCCCACTATGGGCTGGGCACTGGCATCAGGATCCAGGAGCATAGTTCCTGTGCTCAGGGATCACATAACCTTATGGGAACAGCAACCAGAGAAGAATTTCATGAGGATGAGCTCCATGTATTATCCTCACTTCAGGCCTCTTTCTTTTCCTTCTCTTGCTTTGCATGTGAATGCTCAAGGGCAATGCCAGATAAAAGGTGAAGTAAGCAAAGGATGTGTAGAGCATCTCAAACTTCTTTATCTCAACTTTACCTCCCTCTCCTGAGGGGCTCTGCTCTTTTCTCCACCCCATCCCCAGTTCTGTGGGGTTCAGCAAATGTTAACTGCACAGTCCCTGTGCAGGCACTCTACCAGGTGCTGAGAAATCAGATAATATCCATGCCATCACCAAAGCCACCCAAACTGCAAACTAGGAAATCCATTGGACTGCCACCTGCCACGGTCATCCTCATTCTAACTTTGAAAGATGCTTTGAGCCCAACGTCTAGAAATCTTGACTGGCTGCCCAGGGTTTAAATACTACTCCGCCTGTTATTCATTCTCTCTCTCTCTCTCATTTTTTTTAGAGACAGGGTCTTACTCTATGACCCAGTGGCACAATCATAGCTCAATCTAACCTTGAAATGCTAGCCTCGAGTGATCCTCCCTCATTAGCCTCCCAAAGTGCTGGGATTATACAGGCAAGTCACCATACTTGGCCTGTTTATATTTTATAAAATGTATGATTTTGTGAACCATCTAGCAAATACGCTGTACTGCCAAGTCTCAACAGATGGCTCAGCTGGTCCTTAATGAACAAAAGGCAACGAAATGAGAAACGGACTTATATTGTTTAGAGGAGAGACAAATGTCTGTAACTTTCTCTTGAACCAAACTTTAGACAGCATCTCTGTGCCCTCTTTTCGACTAGGCCTTGTCCTTGGGCCCTGTCTTTGACCTGCCTGGTACAATTGAAGCATACATCCTTCTAAGTCAGTGTAATGAGAATCCCAGAGCTCTTGGTATCCAGTCGCCCTCCATAGTTAATCAGGTACCTCATCCCGTCATTCACGCCTGATTGTCCTGCCAAGTCACCTTAGCGAGAGCCCCACTGCCTTTAATGTCCCCCCTTAGTCATTTTCCATCCACTGAACCCTCCGTCTGCTTGTTGGCTATAAGTACCCAGCATACTTTGCGGTTTTTGTGTTGAGCCCATCCTCTCTCTCTCATTTCAATAGTCCTGACATGTATCAAAATAGTCCTGAATAAATCTTCCTTACCGTTTTAACAACTATTGGAATATTTTTTCTTTCATAAACCCTGTGATTAGAGCAAGTCCTGTGCCCTCAGTTTTCTCATTCTTCAAACGAAACCCACTTGGAAATATCTAAGAGATCCTCTCTTAGATATTTCCACCAGCCTGAGTCAACCCAATCTTGGCAAGATTTCCCTGGAATGAGAATTAAACTGGTATAACATGGAAGATTAAACTTTAAGGATTCATATCAAAGAAATAGAATTCTTTTGAGGTCTCATATCTCAATTTAGTTTTCTAAAAGCCTAATGTTATTATAGGCTCCTCTCTCTTATTGAGGCCTAGATAGAGCTAGGGATAGTTAAAGACATTTTATTAACTACTGTAAAAAAGCTGTAAGTGTAACCAAGTGATAAAAATATAGTTCTAACTTTTCTAGTGATTTTTATGAATTAGAAAATCTTCTAAATTTTCATTTGATCTTCCCAAAGAGTATGTGATACTAAAACTATTATTATCCTCAAGTTACATATGGATGGAAAAGTATGTGGAGTGACAACATAAAATTTCTGAAAAATAGGACATCTTAGGTAAAAGAGAAACAAAAACAGGAGAGAATAGCCTATATGTGAGAAAAAAAATAGAAATCAGTGTTGTCATTGTTAGGCAGGAAAACATGTTCAAGAAGTGATAATTAAGTTACATCAATGTTATAATATTGTCAAATAAGAAGGTATTTATTGTTTTGCTGCTAAGATTTGGGTTAGTTTATTATGCAGCAACAGATAATTACCACATTAACAAAATTGGTAGTGTATTAATAACAAGGATAGTACAGATTATGAGTGCAAGATGGAAGAGCTGACCATAAATGAGAAATTCATGGAGAAGTCAGAAAGTGACACAATGAGGTTTTTAAGATGAAGAGCTTCTAGATGTAGAGGGGACAAAGAAGCCCATAAATGAAAAAATAATAATTTGGACAATATAATATCACTGGGAATCAATGTTCTTGTTTACTTGACTTTCTTTTTTTGAGGAGATAACTACTATTTAATCTAAAACCAACAAGATATATATTTTACCTTGGTGTAAAAGTTATTGCAGTTTTTGTCATTCGAAGTAGTGGCCAAAACCACAGTAACTTTTGCACCAAGCAAAAGAAGACAAAAATAACAAGACAAATATAATGACACAACAAACATAAGAAAACCTCAACTATACACAAGACATTTCTCTACAAATCTTCAAAAGTGTCATGATCAAGATCTTCTCTGGGCCAGAGTGAGGTCTTTCTTGTGTCTGGGCCCTTCCAGATGTTTGAAAAATATTTCTTCTGCCTTTTCAGGCTTTGTCTCTATTGCTTTTTCCGCAGGTGCCGGAAGAGGGCTTGTTGGCATATGCTGATGGTCATCTGCACTCTTGGACTCTTCCGTATCTGCTCCAGCAGAGAACACAGAGCTGCTCCCAGGGACTGAAGAATGTGCCCCTCACTCCTTATCATTTCTCCGAGACTCCTGAGGCCACCTTCCTCTGTGGTGGCTCCTCCTCATCTGAGGAATGGTACGAGAATTCTTCCACCAGAGTATATTTGCATTCCTGAACTCCCGTGGCCTCCTTCACATGCCCGGGGGCCTCCTTTGGAAGTTCCTTCCATGGATCCTCACTTTCCTGGACTCCCCAGGCCTTGTTAACATGCCAAGGGGCCTTCTTGGGAAGTTCCTTCCGTGGATCCTCTGTGGAAACTTTTTTGGGGGGACCTCCTAGTGACCTGCGAAGAAACTGGCTGGATTCTGGGGATGTCTCAATGGTCACCATTCTTTTTTTTTTTTTTTTTTTGCTGTCAAAATGGCCTATTTACAGTGAATCAATGGTGCTCTAAATGTGCTGGGAAATGGATATTGTATGGATAGAATAAAAACCCAAGTAGGAACACTGTCTAATAAATGTTTACACACCATCAAGTCTACAAACACTAAATATCATACATGATGGAATCTTTCTCATCTCATAATTTATCTCAATTTTTCCATTACTTTCTTTCATTTTCTCTTATAGCTTTACTCCCAGACAAGCCTCCCAAGCCATTGTTCCCCATGGAGCATCAGCCAAGTGTTATAGATGTCCAGCTGGGTAAGTCCCCTTCTGGGCATAATAGATCCTAAAGTTGCTGTCCGTTAACAGATGGGGAAAATTGCATGAACCAGGAAAGGTTTATCGCTACTGTTATTAAATGCAAATTAATTTGCGTTCTGCTCATTTATAACCCTGGAGTTCAGTGCAATAGCGGTTTAAGGAAATTAGTTTGTGTTGCATCAAAGAATGGTAATATTAATTAGTTACACTGGGTACTAAGTGTGCTGTATGACAGTTTTTTAACTCTATGAATGATAGATGGATGAGTGTCTTGCATGGGTGATTGGTACAGAAAACTTGTCATACATGCCAGCCAAAATTTTTGTTTGGACAGAATTAACTCCTGGAGACCAAGCACTTCTTTTGTGTGTGTGTGTGTGTGTGTGTGTGCGCGCTTAATAATGGCCGATCAATATTTCATTTAAACGTATGAGTAGGTGTGATGTGGTACTGACAAGAATGTATATTTTGTGTATTTAAAGTGGAGAGCTCTATAAATGTTTATTAAGTTTACTTGTTCCAGATCTGAGTTCAAGTCCTGGATATCCTTATTAATTTTCTGTCTTGTTGATCTATCTAATATTGATGTTGAAGTCTCCCACTATTATTGTGTGGGAGTCTAGGGAGTCGAAGTCTCCCACTATTATTGTGTGGGAGTCTAGGGAGTCTAAGTCTCTTTATAGGTCATATGTATCTGGGTGTTAGGATCGTTAACTCTTACTGTTGCATTGATCCTTTTACCACTATATCTTTGTTGCTTTAAAATCTATTTTATCAGATGCGAGAATTGCAACTTCTGCTTTTTATTTATTTATTTATTTTTACTCTCTGTTTGGTTGGTAGATGTTTCTCCATCCCTTTGCTAATGGCCACCATTCTTGACAGGTCCAGGTTGAAATCGCATTCCTGGACTCCCGTGGCCTCCTTCACATGTGATGAGGCATCCTCTCTTGATCTTTAGCTTGCGAAGCGATGATTTCGTGATTCAAGCCAGGCAACATACTCCTGAATCGCCGATTCTGAGGAGTGACAAGCCTTAACACGTTGCCATATTTGAGGACAGAACTCCTTCCAGTTGATTGGGCATTCTTCAGGTGGCAGACTGACAGTGCGAGGGTGACTAAATGGTATGGTGTGGTACATTCGCTGTGGCCGTTTTTGCTGCTGAAATCTTGGTTGCTGCTGAAATCTTGGAGGAATCTCTTCTGCCTCTTCGGGGCAACACTAGGGAAACCTCTGTGGAGAGAAAAGGAAGTGGGGTGCACACAGAGGGCACAGCTGGGGTGAGTAGCACAGCATCAGCACCAGAAAGTGGCCTGAACTGCTTTCCTCGTCCAGAAGAAGGCACCTCCAGAGGACTGAGGGAATTGAGGGCCTGGGCTGCTCTTTACTCTGCCTTTATTCTGGCTTCCTTCTCCCAGGTGGTGCCCCAGGACCCTGTTATTAGGGTTCCCTTAGTCCTCTTGTGGTCCATGAGTTAACTTTCACACTTGTGTACGTGCATACTTTAATTCTCTTCAACAGAGTCCGTAATTCTCAACCGATTCCCAAATGGGAATCTCCTGAGTACCTTTGTGATACCAGCTACTCAGGAGATTCACATAATCCTGGGAGGTCAAGGCTGAAGCAGGCCATGATTACTCCAGCCTGGGTGACACAGAGCAAGACCCATCCTTGCTGCGCGCGTCGCCCCCTTCGCCTCTATGCCGCCACTGACGCCAATGTCTCCTTCTCTGCGCCTCTGTCGCTTTCCTACTTGACTTTTAAACTTATCTTCCTGACCTCTAGACAAACATGGTTGCCTGGTTGTGCCGTTTATTTTCAGTTTATTCTGAAAGATTTATATTTGTCAAGATCTTATACATTGTGAAATGTACATTGTATCACCAAGGAAACTTACGTAAATAATTTGAATTTGTGCAGAAAGGACTAGAAAGCCTATTTAGTCTGTATACGAAGCCATTATCCCTGGGCAATAAAGTGAATATTCCTCCCACCTCAACACCTTTGTATGTTTAAACCCTAACCCCAACGGGATGGCATATGGAGATGGAGTTCTCTGACAGGTAATTAGAATATGAAGGTGGAACCTCCTCAGTTGGATTCATGCTCTTATAATGAAGCCAGGTAGCTAGTTAGCTCTCTTCCTGCCATGTGAAAAACCAATGAGAAGTAGGTAGTTTGCAGTCCAGAAAAGGGGCCTCACCAGTATTTAGCCATGCCAGCACGTTGATCTCATCCTTCTAGTCTCTAGAACTACAAATAAATTTCAAATAAATGAAATTCTTTTCATTTATTTCATTTAAGTTCAGAGGTACATGTGTAGGATATGCAGTTTGTTACATAGATAAACATGCATCGTGGGGGCTGTGGTACAGATTATTTCATCACTCCAGTATTAAGCCATATCTATTAGTTATTTTTTCTATTCCTCTCCCTCCTCCCACCCTCTGACCTCCAGTAAGCTCCAGTGAGCATTGCTCCCCTCTATGTGTTCATATGTTCTCAACATTTAGCTCCCGCTTATAGGTAGGAACATGTAGTATTTTATTTTCTCTTCCTGCATTAATTTGCTAAGGATAACAGCCTCCGGCTCCATCAATGTCCCTGAAAGAACATTTTTTATGGCCATATAGTATTCCATGGTATACATATATTTTATGTTATTTATCCAGTCTATCACTGATGGGCATTTGGGTTGATTCCATGTCTTTTCCTATTGTGAATAGCAGTACAATGAACGTACACGGGCATGCGTCTTTATGATAGAAAATTTACATATTGCTTTGGGTATATACCCAGTAATGAGATTGCTGGGTCAAATGGTATTTCTGTTTCTAGGTCTTGGGGGAATTACCACACTGTCTTCAACATTGGTTGAACTAATTTACACTCCCACCAACAGTGTATATCTGCTCTTTTTTCTCCACAACCTCACCAGCATCTATTATTTTTTACTTTTTAATAATAATCATTGTGACTCATGTGAGCTGTTATCTCATTGTGGTTTTGGTTTGCATTTCTCTAATGATCAGTGGTGCTGAACTTTTTTCATATGATTTTTGGCCACATATATGTCTTCTTTTCAGAAGTGTCTGTTCATGTCCTTTGTCCACTTTTTAATGAGGCTGTCTTTTTCTTGCAAATTTGTTTAAGTTCCTTATGGATGATCGATATTAGACCTTTTTCAAATGCATGGATTGCAAAAATTTTCTGCCATTTTTTAAGTTATATGTTTACTCTGTTGATGGGTTGTTTTTCTTTTTTTGCTGTGCAGATGCTCTTTAGTTTAATTAGATCCCATTTGTCAATTTTTGCTTTCATTGCAATTTCTTTTGGCATTTTTGTCATGAAATCTTTGCCTATATACTGAATGGTATTGTATAGGTTTTCCTCTAGGGTTTTTAAAGTTTTGGGTTTTACATTTAAGTCTTTAATCCGTGATGAGTTGGTTTTGTATATGGTTTAAGAAATGGGTCCAGTTTCAATTTTCTGCGTATGGCTAGCCATTTCTCCCAGCATCATTTATTAAATAGGGAATCCCTTCCCTATTGCTTGTTTTTGTCAAGTTTGTCAAAGATCAGATGATTATAAGTGTGCAGTCTTATTTCTGGGTTCTCTATCCTGTTCCTTTTGTCTATTTGTCTGTTCTTTTATCAGTACCATAAAGTTTTGGTTACTGTAGCCCTATAGTATAGTTTGAAGTAGGGTAGCATGATGCCTCCAGCTGTGTTCTTTTTCCTTAGGATTTCCTTTGCTATATGGCTCTTTTTTGGTTCCATATAAATTTTAAAACAGGTTTTAGTACTTCTGTGAAGAAAGTTTTAATGAGAATAACACTGAATCTATACATTGCTTTGAGCAGTATGGCCATTTTCACAATATTAATTCTCTATATCCATGAGCATGGAATGGATTTCCCTTCATTTTTGTCATCTCTAATTTCTTTGAGCAGAGACTTGTAGTTCTTCCTATAGAGATCCTTCACTTTCCTTGTTAGCTGTATTTCTAGGTATTTTGTTCTTTTGGTGGCAATTGAGAGTGGGAGTTCATTGATGATTTGGCTCTCAGCTTGCCTGTTGTCGGTGTATAGGAATGCTAGTGATTTCTGCACATTGATTTCATATCCTGAGACTGCTAAAGTTGATTATCAGCTTAAGAAGCATTCGGGCTGAGATGATGGGGTTTTCTAAATATAGGTAGGATCATATCATCTGCAGACAGAGATAGTTTGACTTCTTCTTTTCCTATTTGAATATGCTCTGTTTCTTTCTCTTGCCTGATTGCCCTGGCAAAAACTTTTAATACTATGTTGAATAGGAGTAGTGAAACAGGGCATCCTTCTTTTGTTTATAAATCACCTACTCTATGGGATTTTGTTACGGCAGTACAAAGACATCTTCAAAATAGAATCATCCTACCAATAAAACTAAAGTTTCTTCTGTCCTACTTTAGACTTACTCATATGCATCAATTGATTTTTATAAGTTCTGCTCTTAATCCTACGATATGCAGGCACCATGATTCTCCATATACAACCTAGGGGCCTTGCATTGTATAAGCACTGTATATGTCAATGAGTTCTCCAATTTCTTAATTTAGAATTTTATTACTCAAATGTTTGAGTTCTCTTAATTTCTTAATCTAGTTTTTTCTTCTCATTTCATCCTCAAAAAGGTTAATGTAATTTCCACTCATAAATATCAAATACAAACTTTTTTTAAAATCGAAGTTTCCTGAAGGTTGGCCAGGACTGTGTCTGTTACCTAATGTACAGCATGGATGGTGATGGATGATATCAAATCATTACATGTATACCTTGAATATATACTGTCTTTGCCATTTAAATATTTTAAATAATAATAAAAACATGAAATTGAGATGTATTACATATTACTTTTATTATGATTTTTAAAAGGAAAAGAAAATGCCAGTGCCTGCCATCATTCCAAATGCAGTAAAGGTACAGAATTTATATTTTTAAAACTGTAGGAAGAAAGTCAAGTTTATGGTAAACGTTTATAAAAAGGAAGCTTTTTTTTCATACCCTTGTGATCGCTATGTTTAGACAAAGGAGGGTGAGAATTAAAAAGTCACATGCACACTCTCACTGGAATTAGAAAGTTAACTTTCTCTCATTTGAGCGATACCTACGTGTTTTGTATCTTCCTTTTTCTCCATCCCCTACACAGAGCATCCGTGCAAACTTAACAAGGTTCTCCGGGGATTGGGACCTCATATTTGTTAATGTCTTGAGACATGGAAATGTGTTAACCTGCTTTGAACTCCCTATAACACACAAAGACTTATACTTATTTCAGCATAATATTGTCTCAGCCTCTGACCTTTTTCTAGGAAGGAAACAGTGAAAGCATTTCAGTTGCCAGGCAGAAGCAAATGAAGCCCAGGCATCTCCACCTCCAATGAGAGCCCAGGAAGACTCCTTTTCCATGTAGTTTCTGTAGAGATTAGTGAAATCACAACATCAAGACAATTTGGAATCATAAAATATGGTGAATATGGCTGATTAAAAATAAATCTTCGTGGCTTCTTTTGGTTTCTTCTCTTGAAGACTTAAGTTTTTATTATTTTGGAAAATGTCTTTTATCAGCACTCAGGAAAGACTACAAAATCTCTTAATGGCAATTTCTTTTCACTTGGACAAATTCTTCTGAGTTTTTCTTCCTTTATTAAGGTGAGACTACTTATTATTAATATTTTTATAGTTTCTGAGAAAGGAATGCTTAGATAGGTGACTGGATAAAAATATATGTGATATTGCTATTTCCAGAAATTTGCCTACCTTTATTTGTGACTAAGTGCCTGTAAGTATTCAAGAATGATGTTACAGAAGAGGAAACCGATGTTATACTTATTTTGCTGTGGTCCTCAGTGTTAAGCTGATTGGTTTGAGTTTCTGATAATCAAGGAAACCTATGGGTTAATAGTACAAATCAAAACCATCTTCTCTGCTTTGAATTCTGTCCCTATCACTAACTGGTGATACATCCTTGGGAACTGAGTATTCTCTTTGTATCACACTTTTTTTATTGCAGAGTGGGGATAAAAGTAGAACCCGTTTCATATGCTGATTGTGTAAATTGAAAGAAGTAATCCAAAAGGCATTTGTAACAGTAACAGAACACAGCAAATTTGCAACAACTCTTGTTGTTATAAATCACCAGCACTCTTGATATTATATTTTAGATTAAATGATTCCCAAGACTTCATTTACCTTGTTCTACTCTCATGAGTTATCAGGCTATAACTTTTTCATAAAGTCACATAATTTAGAGGGACCCAGAGGGCATACATGGTGGGGTTTGAGTGTACGCTCATGCAAAATCTGGTGAAAATAAACACATATCTGAGGGGAGAGGACGATGCGCAGTTAAAAGAAGTTCTTAGACAATATTTAGAACAACATTGGTAGTTTATTATTTGAGGTAGAAAGTATATGTTTCAGCCTCAGATGTGCTTCTTTAAAACTGTGAAGCCATGAAAAGGGCTGGGCGTGGTAGCTCACACCTGTAATCTCGGCACTTTGGGAGCCCAAGGTGGGCAGATCACTTGAGGTCAGGAATTCGTGACCAGCCTGGCCAACATGGTGAAGTCCATCTCTACTAAAAATACAAAAAAATTGGCTGGGTGTGGTGGCGGGAGCCTGTAATCCCAGCTACTTGGGAGGCTGAGGCAGGAGAATCACTTAAACCTGGGAAGCAGAGGTTGCAGTGAGCCGAGATTGTGCCGCTGCACTCCAGCTTGGGTGACAGAGTGAGATTCCATCTTAAAAAAAAATGTGAAACAATGAAGATTAAAAGTCAGTGACTACACTCACTCACTTCTTATATAAATTGCATATTATGTTCACCTGTTTTGTGGAGATTAGATCAGAAATGAGCCTAAATTAATAGGCCCCTTCCTTTTTCTCCAAATTCCAAAGCATATGTAACATATCCCTATAAGTAAGCAAATGTGTGCATATTCAAATGAACGTCTCATCTCTGCAGTGGAGGCACGGGGATGGCAAGCCTGTGGAGAGGCAGCTCACAGGATCTGAGTTCATATCCATTGCTGCCACTTACTCATCTCATGACTTTGACAAACTCACTAAAGTTTGTCAAAGGCTTCCTGTAGGACTTCTTTAAATGGCTATTTACTATTTTACTGTCATCATAATATTAGCACATTCTGGAGGATTCTATCATGAACATGACTTTGACAAACACAGTAAAGACGCTGACTTCCTGTAAGACTTCTTTAAATGGCTATTTCATATTTACTGTTATTGTAATATTAGCGCATTCTGGAGGATTCTATCATGAACTCTCATAATATGAATAAAGAAAGATGTTAAAATAAAAGTCAATGACTCATTAAAATTTTGCACTGTACATGTTAGCTCTTTATGTTGTATGAGAGCAACATAAAATAATGTATTCTTTATTTGCATGTATGTGAGTCTGTGTGTGTGCACATTTGTAAACACAATGTGTAAATGTATTTATTGGTCACTTTCAGAATTTGAATAGGAACTTTTAAATTACAATATGTAAAAGCATTTTCCAATCTTCATTATGAATGTAAAGAAGGCTTGCAAAAAAGAGGTAATTCAGTCCAAGGAATTACTGAATAAATCTTCTGAAAGGCATTTGGTAATGTTAAAGAATTAGTGTGTGTGTGTGACTTCATCATGATTCTATGTCCTCAAAGTACATTTCTTCTTCTGTGCACATCAGCGGTTTAATGCTGACCCCCAGGATGACTCAGAAGAATGCCAGCACCATTGCAGAGCTGGTCCTTCTCGGATTTTCCAGTCACCCCCAGGCTGAGATCCCCCTCTTCTTCCTCTTCTGTCTAGTTTACCTGGTGAATCTCTCTGGAAACACAGCAGTTATCATTTTGGTAATAATTGATTCCTGTCTCCAAACACCCATGTATTTTTTCCTCTGTCACTTGGCCTTTGTCAACATATTTTACACTACAGTTGTGGTCCCCAAGATGCTCTTCAACCTCCTCACCTCCAGGAAAGTCATCTCTTACAAATTCTGCCTTGTCCAGACCTACATCTCCCTGTTCATGGGAGCAGCTGAGTGCATGATTTTGGCAGTCATGGCTCTAGACCGTTACGTGGCCATTTGTTACCCTCTGCGGTACCTGCTCATCATGAACCAGTCTGCCTGTGTGCAGCTGGCTGTGGGGGCCTGGATCATTAGCTTCCTTGCCTCCGTGGTGCCTCTCTACATGACCATAGCTCCCTTCTGTGGTCCTTACGTCATTGATCATATATTTTGTGAAGTACCTGTTCTTCTTCATATGGTCTGTGGTGATACATCTCTGCAGGAGACCATGATGGTGACAGGCGCATCTGGTACTCTCTTACTGCCTTTCCTTCTCATTATCCTCTCCTACCTAAACATCCTGGTTGCCGTGATGAAGATGAACTCAGCTGAGGACAGGAAAAAAGCTTCCTCCACCTGCAGCTCTCACTTGACTGTGGTGGTCATTTATTATGGGACAGGAATGTTCATGTACATGAGGCCCAAGTCTCTATACTCAGCTGAGGGTGATAAACTGATTTCCTTGTTCTATGCCGTCATCAATCCTGCTCTAAATCCTCTGATTTACAGCCTGAGAAACAAGGAGGTAAAAAGAGCCATGAGGAGAGTCTGGAAGGGATGGGTCATGTCCCAAAGTCAGAAAACACCATCCTAAGATGCCAGTGGTTAGAATTTACTCTTCCGCATGCTCTCTTTAAGGGCAGAGACATATGTATGGCAGATATTTAACTTAATTAGCTATAAATGCCTGTAGCTCTGTCAAAATCACTACAAATATATTAGGTCATTCTTCTATGACAGCACTCTACTGTGACTGTGCCCTTCCTGACTTTTATTGGATTACACCCCAGGTATTGAAATTTTCTACACATCAGAAATTCTAACAACAAGCAAGTTTCATTTCTTGATAAAAAGTGAAATTGACATTTCCGGGCAGGTTTTCTGACATCGTAACTTCTCACAACCTCCACATTTCATTATTTCTTGCCCCTCTACTATACAGGTTATTATTTTTTCTTTACTAACCATATGTCATAGCATCCTCTTTAGTTACCTATACTCACTCAGTATATGTCTACTTGGAAACACTTGTTTCACTAATGGCAGAGATTCTTTCTATAGCTTAGTAAATACAATCAAATTCCACAAATAATTTAGAGGAAAAGGCTTTATGACTCTCAAATTCTGGATGTTATATGGATACTATGGAACATGAATTAGCTTTCCATCTCTAAGCTGGTAAATCCTTATGCTTTTTTGTCAAATACAGAGTTTCCAGAATGCTACTGTACTCCATTCAGTCTGGGCATTTGTTCAACCAATGTTGATGAATTCCTCAGGCATGTTATTGGTATATGTATTGCAACCCTCCACTCAATTGTAACCTTCTTCATTAAATCTTTCTCTGAAAAACCAACCCTTTTTACCTTACTGTGAATTCTCCTTTCTTTGAGGTAGGACTTTAAACTTCAGCCTATCTCATGGCGTGTTTTACTTCACACAGGTTTTTGACAACCGTGAAATATACTGGGACCATGCATGGAATAGTGACTCATTCTAGAATCCTCACAGTTTAACAGTGGAGAAAGTGTGCTTGCTGACTTCTACCTGCAGTGCAGGTAAATAAAAGCCCAGAAAAATGCAGGGCCATCAAGAAAGCCCTCTTCTTAAAGAAAGAATGAGAAAAAAAAAAACCCAGGTATACATGTCAAAAGAGAAAATTCAAATGGTGGTACAGAGTGGGAAAAAATACCAACAATTGAGTGAAAATGGTTCAGTGGGTCTTGGCTGAACTTCACAGTCTTCTCAGGGTTTTGCATTTTTCTTTTTACTCTTCATAAGTGGAGCA